GGCATCCACTTCCATAATAGCTTGCCTCAGAAAACCTATGAACCTGAAAAGAGGATGAAAGGCACCCAAGGTTGAGGACTCTCCTTCATACGGTCCTATGAGTCACCTGTGACTCATGGCACTTAACAACAACATATCCTGATATAGCATTTGATTTATTATTAAGTTTGATATTTGGCTTCCCACAAACTACTGAGAAAACAAGGGTTTGACGGACAGAAATACCTGAAAGTTTGTTGAGCATTCAACAATGCAAAACTGTAAATGGTTTCCTTTAACCAATGGCTTCACAGACTTCACAGTAGAGTTTATACAGCCTCTGCGTTATTGCTGAGATCTTGTAGACAGAGATAGATAATGTATTATTTGAAGGGTAAAGAAGCCTTGTCTTTTATAAATTCTAATTTGTTTGTTTGTTTGTTTGTTTGTTTGTTTTTTTAACCTTCCATCTCCTTCTCTGTTCCAACAGACTATCCAGATAATGTGTGGATTGATGGTGTTGATCTTGGGAATCATTTTGGCATTTTCTTCCTCCTCTCCTCAGTTCACTCCCGTGGTTTCCATCCTGTTGAAGGCTGCTTACCCTTTCTTAGGAGCCTTATGTGTGAGTAGGGTTTTCTGAGGACTTGATGGGGTGGAAACGGGATGAAGAGTCATTATTTTAGCCTATTCATCTTTCGCCTTACTATGTTTCTTTTTCATTATTTTTTTAATTAAATTTTATTCATTTTAATGAACATGTACAGAGACTTGGGGTTTTCATTCATTCATTGTTGCACAATTTTCTCTAACATTAATGAAAATTTACAGAGACTTTGGATTTCCATTCATTCATTGTTGGACTTTTCTCCCTGCCTACCTCTCCCCCTCCCAGTTCGCTCTTCTTTCTAAAAAGTAAAAGAAAAATTCTTTCATTGTTATACAATCTCTCCCCTCAAGTCCACTCCACTCTGCAGCCTTCATTCTGGACTCCTGTCACGACAATAATACCTAATCATATATCCCCTTTAAACAGTCCTTGCCCTCCTCTGTCTCAATGCCGTATACATAATTTATCCCATCTTTCACAATCTCCCCCCAGTCCTCATGACAGTCCCATTTTACAACCGTGGCACTATGTAATATTTGTCCTTTTGTGACTGAGATATTTCACTCAGCATAGTGTCCACCAGGGTCACTCATTTTGCACAATATTTCATGAGTTCCTTGTTTTTCAATGCTGCATAGTATTCTATTGTGCAAATACACCACAGCTTCCCTATCCATTCATTTGTTGATGGGCACTTGGGTTGTTTCCAGCTCTTTGCTATTGTGAACAAAGCTGCAATAAACATAGGTGTGCATATATCTGCATAGGTGGCAGTTATGGCTTCTTTGGAGTATATTCCCAGTAGTGGAATTGCTGGGTCAAATGGTATTTCTATTTGCAACTTTTTGAGAAAGTGTCATAATGCCTTCCATAGTGGTTGCATCATTTTACATTTCCATCAGCAGTGAATAAGGGTTCCAGTTTCTCCACCACCTCGCCAACATTTGTTGTTTGCCTTACTATGTTTCTAACTGTCAGGAGAAAGGGGTAAATGGGTAGAACTTGGTCTCCTGTGTTTCAGATGGGAGGAAGAGAATCTTCTGATTTTGTAACTGACTCAAAGAAGCTTGACTTTTTGAAGATCACCTTACTTCTCCCTTCATATTCCTCAGCTATGATGATGCTAATGGTTTCTTCCCAGGTTATGGAGAAAAGTCCATGAAGTAGGTGAAAGTTGAAAAGAATGTTTCTACATCAAAAAATGAGCAACACTAAATGCTAGCCCTCACATGTTTTTGAGAACCTTAAAAAAAAAGAGTTCAGCCAGTTCTGGGAACTTTGAAAAAACTTTTTTCCCTACATATGATGACATTTATAGAATATCAAACCTGAGAGTTCCACAGAGACCACCTACAGCGTTAAAAGGACAAGTGGTTCTTTGAGAACAGCAAGTCTTCGAATGTGGTTGATTGAATGTTTCCTGTAATTAGTTTCTTTTTCATTGGCTTCTCATCTCAAACTATTAGCCATGATTTGTTTCACTTTTTAGAAGTTCACCATGTTCTCTATCTTTCATTAGGTAAACTCAACATATCCTGATATAGCATTTGGTTTATTATTAAGTTTGATATTTGGCTTCCCACAAACTATTGAGAAAAAAGGGTTTGATGGAAATGAATGCCTGAAAGTTTGTTGAGCATTCAACAGTGAAAAACTGCTTTAGATTTTACCAGTTTGCCCCTCAATGTCCTTTCTTCTGTTCTGCTGAAGCGCAAGTTTTATTCTCTCTAACATCTGTTGTCAGACGAAGCCCCAGAATCCTTGCCTCCAAGGAACAGCCTGGTTTAACCCTCTCTAGGATGAATCTGTTTGTTTTCTTGGCAGTTCTTAGGACATATTGTAAGGAGGTCCTTGGAGAAGGACATCATGCTTGGGAGGGTGGAGGGACGGCACAGGAGGGGAAGACCCTCTATGAGGTGGATTGATTCAGTGACTGGGGTAATCAGGATGGGAGTATCAGAGACAGTGTGATTGGCACAGGACAGAGCAGGGTTTAGGGCTCTTGTACATAGGGTCACCATGAGTCGCAAGTGACTCGATGGCACATAACAACAACAACAACAACATCCATTGAAATAATTTTATTCTTTCTTCCTGTATGATTTCATAGTAATCTCATAACTCATCCAGTCTTCAGTTATTAGTGTTCAACATATCAAATCTGTTCATGACTGATCTCTAAATCCGGGTGGGATATATTCAAGATAATAATTTAATTTTTGTGGACTTGTTTTCCTTTTCTTCAGCTTCAATGTGAACTTTATTATGAGTAATTGGTGGCTGGTCCAGTTTCTTCCTGGACTTGCTCTGATTGATGACATTGAGTTTTTTCCTTAGATACCTTCGTCTTCTTGATACCTTTGTATTCTGTCCAGTGAGGTCTATATTTGCTGTTGTTAGGTGCTATCCAGTTGACTCCAACTCATAGTGACCTCTATGATCAATGGCTATAAACTTGCCCTAACCTGCGCCTTCCTCACAGTTTCTGTGATGCTCAAGTCCATTGTTGAAATTGACCTTATTGGGGGACTTCTCTTTCACTGATCCTCCACTTTTCAAATAACGATGCCCTTTCCAAGGCTGGTGCCTCTTGACAACATGCCCAAAGTATATAAGATGAGTTTTACCATCCTTGCCTCTAAGGAGCCACCTGGTTGCATTTAACTCCAAGAGAGATTTGTTTATTGGTTTTGGCAGTCCATAGTCTATTCAGTTTTCTTCACCAGCAACATAAATCATAGATAGCAATTTTTCTTCTGTCTTTCTTAGTTACTGCTCAACTTCCAGGAGCATGCAACCATTGCAAAGACTACATAGAAACTGACATTCCGTGTGTGTGTGTGTGTGTGTGTGTGTGTGTGTTTGAATCGGATCTGACTGGCACAGGAGGAGATTGTCCCTCCTTCTCTAAGGAAGCATTTGGTGGATCCAACCACTCTTTACATTTTGAAGAGACCCTTGGCAGCAGATTTACCTAAAGCAATATGCTAATTGATTTCTTAATTGCTTCTTCTCTAAGTGTTGACTGTGGTAAATGAAACTTTTAACAAGTTCACTCTTTTCTCCATTTATCAAGATGGTGACTATTGGTCCAGTTGTGAGAATCTTTTCTTTTTTAGTAGGTAATTTCAACATGTAGAGTCACCGTTTATATTGGTTTGAAATTATTTGAAATTAATAATTTATTGGTTGTACAAAATTACATCTTGCTGTCTCTGGTGTTCTTTCTAGCACCAAGGACATATTTTCTAGATATCAACCCATTTTCTTTTGGTTTTTAACTTTGGCATTCTAATTACTCATAATTATCTATGAATCTGATTACATACCTGATCAATTTCAAACTATAGGAGCTGACAAAGTTGTTCAATTTCTTAATCTTTGGCGCTAGGGGTGGTTGTAAAAATTTAAATAAGAGTGATATTGAAGGTCTTCTCTTTATGTGTGTGGATATTATCCTACCACAAATAGCACTCTATTTCAGGAACGTTCTTGAAAAGTTGTTTTTTTAGTTTACTTTCTTAATTTTTTCTCTTATCATACTCTTTTTTTAAATTGGTTTGCTTAAAAAGTTTGTATACCAAAACAACTATCAGGTATCATCTCACCCCAGTAAAAATAGCAAAATTTAACAAAACAGTAAACATCAAATGCTGGCGAGGTTGCAGAGAAACTGGAACCCTTATTCACTGTTAGTGGGAGTGTAAAATGGTGCAACCACTATGGAAGGCTGTATGGCACGTTCTCAAAAAGTTGCAAATAGAAATACCATTTGACCCAGCAATTCCACTACTGGGAATATACCCTAAAGAAGCCATCAGCACCACCCATACAGATATTTGCACACCCATGTTTATTGCGGCTTTGTTCACAATAGTAAAGAGCTGGAAACAACCCAAGTGCCCATCAACAAACGAATGGATAGAGAAGCTGTGGTATATTCACACAATAGAATACTATGC